CAGCAACCATCCCGAAAGGGAAGAAGGGGGGGGGAGTCCGGGGAGCCCTCCCCGCACCTTCCCTTCCCGGGAGACTAGAGGAGGGGCGTTGATTATTTTCTTCCTCATCTTCCATACGTCCTGCCTCTCTAGGAACATAAGACTCTGTTCCTTTAACCTCTTTTGGGATAAGTAAGCGAGGGTGTTTTCCTTCACCTGACTGGGCTGGGGCACCTCCTTTATATGAGGAAAGGCTACAGATTTTGGGGCTCTTTAATTCCTCCTCAGAGGTTTTTCAGTCCTACTCTCTTTTTAGGATTAAATTATCAATCTGAGGCATAGTTTAACTGCTTGCTTGCTTTATCTATTTATGCCCCACTTTTCACCTGAAGATAAAGGTTTTTTGCCTGATGACTTCTTTTTCTCCCAGTCTTTCCAGTTCTCCCAGTCTTCAGAGTGCTGTCCTCTGAAGATGTCGGCCACAGAGACTGGCGAAACGTTAGGAAGAACAACCTTCGGAACACAGCCAAAGAGCCCGAAAAACCCACAACAACCATTAGATGCCGGCCGTGAAAACCCCTTCACAAATATATCTCTTATTTCTCAGTCTTTCATATTTTCCTGTCATTCAAACCTCTCTAAATTTAATACATGCAACTCCACACAAACTTTTAAGCACAAAGGTTCCAGCTGAGTGGAATGGCCACATTACTATTCCAGGCAAGGCAGTGGCACCTGCTTTACACCCTGGCATGCAGGAAGGCTTTATCAGCTGCATCTGGGTTGCTATAGCCGAGAAAGCCCTTCCCTTCGTGTTTCCTCGGTGTGAACCATTTTCCATGACAGGACACGGACAAGCCCTCCCCAGCAGATCTGAGAGTAATGAACAACGCCACTGGGACAGAACCTTACAGCACCTCACTTATCCCTTCTCTTCAAGTTCACAAGGAACTCTCCGTGAGAAATCTTTGGCTAGAACCCTCCACCACCAGTGTCATTGTCTACCACAAACTTAGCCAGCTTCACGGTTGGAGGATCATGGGGGACCTTTTCAAAAGCTTGGCTGTGATCAACATACTATGCTATACCCTGAAGATCTCCTCCTTCTGATCTCTCAAGGAATCAACAGCATCATATAATCCGCTCACAAAGCAACTCATTCCTTTCATGTCTTTCTCTGCATGAAAATGTAAATGCCTGAATTTGCAATGGTTTTCTCCCCACACATGAGGAATCGATTTGTCAGTGGCAGAAAAATTAAAATGTCCCCACTGTTCCTGCAGCCCAAGTGGAAGTTTTTAGAGCTACCCTGATCAGTGAAATCACCATTCCCACAACCTCTTGTAGTTCACATGGAAGTTATCAAGTTACAACCACTCTCTCTCTTTGCAATGGCTGCAAGGAGGAACATAAGAAGAGCCCTGCTGGATCAGGCCAAGGGCCCACCTAGTCCAGCTTCCTGTATCTCACAGGGGCCTCACCAGATGCCTCTGGGATCACACAAGACAACTGGATACCTGTCTTCTGATACCCCTCCCCTCCATCTGGCATTTGGAAGTACCTTCCTTTTAGGCATGGACATTGTACATCCCCATCATGGCTTGTAACCTGCAATGGCCTTTTCCTCCAGGAATCTGTCCCATCCCTTTTTCAAGGCATCTAGGCCAGATGTCATCACCACATCCCGTGGCAAGGAGTTCCACAAACTAACAACACACTGAGTAAAGAAATAATTTCTTTTGTCTGTTCTCACTCTTCCAACACTCAATTGGAGTTGATCTCCCCTGGTTCTGGTATTGTGTGAGAGGGAAAAGAGCTTCCCTCTATATATTTTATCTATCCCTGCATCATTTTAGGTGTCTCAATCATGTCCCCCCTCAGATGCCTTTTCTCTAGAATAAACAGCCCCAAACACTGTAGCCTTTCTTCATAAGGGAGGTGCCTCAACCCAGTCATCATTTTAGTCACTTTATTCTGCACCTTTTCCAGTTCCACTATGTCTTTTTTGATACTCCAGGTGTGGCCTTACCATTGTTTTGTACAATGGCATTATAATGTTCGCTGTTTAATTTCCCTCTCCTTTTTAATGATCCCTAGCATGGAATTGGCCTTCTTCACTGCCACCACACACTGGGTCGACCCTTTCATCGAGCTGTACACCAGCACACCAAGATCTCTTTCCTGATCCATTGCAGCCAGCTCAGAACCCATTAGCTGATTAATAAAGGTTTGATTTTTTTTTGCCCCAATGTGTATTACTTTATATTTACTTATATTGAAACGCATTTGCCATTTTGCTGCCCATTCTCCCAGTTTGGAGAGATCCTTTTAGGGCTCTTCACAATCCCTTCTGGTCTTCACCACCTGGAAAAGTTTCATGTCATCTGCAAACTTGGCGAGCTCACTGTTTTTCTCTGTCTTCAGGTCATTTATGAACAGGTTGAAAAGCACCAGTCCCAGGACAGATCCCTGGGACATACAGTACTGCTCTTCACCTCTCTCCATTGCGAAAATTCCCCATTGACAACTACTCTCTGTTTCCTGATTCTCAACCAATTCTCAGTCCATAAGAAGACTCTTATCCCCTGACTGTGGAGTTTTCTCAGCAGCTTTTGGTGAGGATCCAGGTAGACAATATCCACTAGTTCACCCGTATCCACATGCCTGCTGACCTTTTCAAAGAATTCTAAAAGTTTTGTGAGGCAAGACTTACCCTTACAGAAGCCATGCTGATTTTTCCCTCAGCAAAGCTTGTTTTTCGATGTGTTTTAAGATTTCATCTTGGATGAGGCTTTCCACCATCTTCCCTGGAACAGACATTAGGGTTAGGCTAAACAGCCTGTAGTTTCCTGGATCCCCCCCCCCCCATTTCCCTTTTTAAAGATTGGCGTGACATGTGCTGTCCTCCAGTCCTCTGGCACTGTGGCCATTTTAAGGGACAAGTTGTATATTTTAGTTAAGAGATCAGCAACTTCATTCCTCAGTTCCTTAATAATCCTTGGGTGAATGCCATCTGGGCCTGGTAACTTATTGATCTTCAGTTTACATGCTGGGCTTTGGGTGTTTTTGCTGAAGATGATTTGGATTTTCTGGTTACAGCTGCCAGAGGGGATTCCTGGGTGAATTTCCTGGTGGTAGCTATAGTGAAATACTGTACTTTTTTAAAAAAATCCATGCCTTCTGTTCATAGTACAGGCATGCCTATCTTTCCGTTTTGCATAGAAATAAACGAAATCAAGGAATTGTAATTGAAACAGATTTGCATATTCTTATAAAAAACCCTTTGTTCTTATTGCTACACTGTGTGATATTGCAAGGACACAAATCGATAAGTGGAAAGATTCAAAGAGTATTCTTCTCCTTTCTGAAATAAAGGCAAGTAAATAGAGATTCAAAGAGTATCTTTCTTCTTTCTGAAACCACAGGGACTGACATAAAGGTGCTTCATTAACAATTTAATGCATTTATCTGTTTGCTCGCTTGTTTCATTTTTGGCCACCTTTTTCCAGATGAATGAACCCCATCAGATATAAAATGATGAAGTGGACTTGTCCACAAAAACTCACATTAACAAATATAAGAGTTAGTCTTTAGGATGCCACAGCATTTTTGTATATTTTTATTTTTGTTTTGTTTTCACTTATTAGGCTTGCACAGACTTACATGGCTATTCCTTCTACAACTACATTTTTAACAGTTGTTTTCTAAAAACCTTCTTAGAAAGGGTCTTTAGAAGGAGGCTCTACACTCAGTCTCATTACTATTGAAGTACACCTGATGGGCCACAATAAAGGGCCTTCTCTGTGGCTGTTCCAGGATGTGGAATGTTCTCCCTCAGAAAGTTTAGTTGGTTTTCTCCCTTTTATCCTTTCGGAGAGAGTTAAAAGAGCTGCCTCTTGAGGCAGCCTTTTTAATAACGAAGACTGAATCTCTCTTGAATGTTGGACTTCTAATCCTTTCACTGTGTTTCTAAACGCTTTTAAATTATCATCGTATATTCCTTTTTCATTGTTATTATATGTTTAAATGTTTTTTAACGTTGTAATTTGTTTTCTACTTAGTCTCACTTGCTTTTCTCATTATGAGCTACCTCAGGTTCATTCAACCAGAGAAAGGTGGCCTAAACATGAAACAAGCAAGCAAACAAATAAATAAATAAACACATACATAAATAAATATCTTCTCTACATTCTTGAGCTTGCAAAGTTATATTTTTGCACTATGCCTTCCAGAATGTCCCATCAAGTTACATTGGCTAGGATATCCTGGAAACTGTTTACCAAAAAGTAGCTTCTCTGAGCTTTCCTGTGCTTCTCATCTTCAAAATTGTGACCTACAGGGTTGAAGACTTTGCTAAATCAATAGAAAGTTATTCTGAGGTATCTCAAAATGTTTATTAACTTCTGAAATGAGCTACTATAATATTTAAGTAGAAACCATGTGAAATAAAATTCCACTTAGGGCAAAAATAAAAAGACAGGACACATGTTCAGTCCAAAAGGCACTATAGTCTGAAACTCCAAGTAAGACAAAGAGACTAGGGTCCAAAATTGTATTCTCAGAATGCCTCATGCTAAAATGGATTATAAATCCTGCGGGTCTTAAGAGGCAATCGGACTGAAGTTCCTATTGACCCCACCACCTTTGACAATACTGAGAAAAGTGGAGATCAGTAGTCTAGTAACGTCGTGGGGTTATGGATCACCCCAGCTGGATGACAATTGTTGGTTGCTAGTCCAATTTATTATCAATTTCTTGCTCAACTTCCAATGTATGAAGGGAGCATGCATTTATATGGCCTCTATCCTTCATGACTATTTTCATGTTTTCTAAGATGCTCTTTCTCATTGAACCCCTTTCCATATTTCATGCATTTATATGGTTTCTCCCTTGCGTGAATATTTTGATGAAGGCTAAGGGACCTTTTCTGACTGAACTTCTTTCCACACTCCATACATTTATATGGTTTCTCCCCTGTGTGAATTTTTTCATGCAACAAAAGATTCCCTTTCCGACTGAAGCTCTTTCCACACTCCATACATTTATATGGCTTCTCTCCTATATGAACACTTCGATGGAGCCTAAGGTTTCCTTTCTGATTGAAGCTTTTTCCACATTTCTACACATTTGTATAGCTTCATCCCTGTGTGAGTTCCCTGATGCTGCCTAAGATTCACTTTACCAATAAAGCTCTTTCCACACTCCATGCACTTAAATGGTTTTTCCCCTGTGTGAGTTCTTTGATGCAGTATAAGATTCCCTTTCTGAATGAAGCCCTTCCCACACTCCATGCATTTATAGGGCTTCATCCCTGTGTGAGTACTTTGATGTAGCTTAAGTTCTCCTTTCTGACGGAAGCTCTTTCCACACTCTCTACATTTATATGGCTTTTCTCCAGTATGAATTCTTTGATGAAGCCTGAGATTCCCTTTCCGATTGAAGCTCCTGCCACACTCAATACATTTATATGGTTTCTCGCCTGTGTGAGTTATTTGATGCCGGATGAGGTCCCCTTTTTGACCAAAGCTCTTTCCACACTCCAAACACTTACAGGGTTTCTCCCCTGTGTGAATTCGGTGATGCAGCTTAAGATTCCCTCTTTGGCTGAAGCTCATTCCACATTCCATGCATTCATATGGCTTTTCCCCTGTGTGAGTTCTCTGATGCCGCCTAAGGTTCGCATTATTAATGAAACTTTTCCCACATTCCATGCATTTATGTGGCTTATGTCCTGTGTGAATACTTTTATGCTGCTTAAGGATCCCTTTTTCACCAAAGCTTTTTCCACATTCCATGCATTTATCAGGTTATTTCCTTTGTGAATACTTTGATGCAGACTAAATGAACTTTTTTGTCTGAAACCTTTTCCACACTCCGTGCATGTATATGGCTTCTTCTGTGTGTGAATAAATTGATGCAGCCTAAATGCCCCTTTCTGACTGAAGCCTTTTCGACACTCCATACATTTGTATGGTTTCTCTCCTGTGTGAGTTCTTTCATGCATCCTAAGGTCACCTTTCTGAATGAAGCTTTTTCCACACTCTATGCATTTATATGGCTTCTCTCCTGTGTGAGTTCTTTGATGAAGCCCAAGATTCCCTTTGCGACTGAATCTCTTTCCACATTCCGTGCATTTATGCGGTTTCTCCCCTGTGTGAATCATTTGATGCCACCTAAGAACCCCTTTCTGTTTGAAGTTCCTGCCACACTCCATACATTTATATGGTTTTTCCCCTGTGTGGATTCTTTGATGGGACGTAAGAGACCCACTATTACTGAAGCTCTTTCCACATTCCATGCATTTATATGGTTTCTCCCCTGTGTGAGTTCTCTGATGGGCAGCAAAGGATCCACAAAAACTGAACCTTTTTCCGCAATCCATACAGTTATAAGGCTTCTGTCCTGTGTGAAGGCTTTGATGCCCCCAAAGTTGTCCTTTCTGACTGAAACACTTTCCACACTCTATGCATTTAAATGGTTTTTCACCTGTTTGATTTCTGTGATGCAGCCTAAGGCTCCCTTTTTGACTAAAGCACTCTCTACTCTCTAAACATTCATATGGTTTCTCTCCTGTACCAGTTCTTTGATGTAAAGCAAGGTTAGACTTAAATGTTAAGATCTTCCAACATACTATACATTTACATGATTTGCTGCTGCTTTGATCAGAAAATGTTCCACAATCACTGAAATGTTTTTCAGAGTCCATGCCTTGATACCATTTTGATCCCAACTGGATTATGCCATATTGCTTTGATTTGCTGTTTTCCTCATGAGAACCAGAGGACTTCTTCTTTCCCTTCTTGGACTTGTTTTGCATATGATTCTTTCGTCCCCTTGGATGCCCAGATATCTCTCTTCCTTCCTCAGGCTCCTTAACTTCCCATGGTAGAAGATGTGGCCTCGGGCAGTTTTCATCCTCCTGTCCATCACCTAAATTTGGGAGAAAAAAATGGGATGTAAGATTGTTATGGTATTTTAGGAAGACTCAGGAGCTTTAACCAGAGATTGAGTTATTGCCCTTTTTATTCCCTCACTCAAAGATGATCAATTTTTTCCTCCATGTTTCCCATACAGTGGACCCTCTACTTACGGAATTAATCCGTATTGGAACGGTGGTTGCAGGTCGAAAAGTCTGTAGGTCGAGTCTACATTGACCTACAATGCATTGAAAACTGATTAATCCGTAACCGGCCGTTTTTGTTCCATTTTTGCTCCATTTTGTTTTTTTTCTGGTCTGTAGGTCGATTCTCCGGCTGTAACTCGAACCTAAATTTTGCAGCCAGAGAAGTCTGTAACTCGAAAAGTCTGTAAGTCGAGCCGTCTGTAAACCGAGGGTCCACTGTATTAGAATTAATATTTGGAATAATTTGCTATCTGCAAGCATGATAGGGATTTATTTCTGACTGCATTATTACTGTGCAAGAGTGCAGCCATGATATTGGGCAGCAGAGCAAATCAACATTTTACAAGGCAATTCTAAAAATCACATCAGCCCAAACAAAAATGTATGTCTTTTACACTGGGTTTCAGGTCAGCACCCACACCCGGCACAATTATAGCAGACAATTTGCTCATACTCCGTACCAAATTTTGGGGAGTTTGTTTGGGGAGTATATTTTTTATCCTCCCATTTAGAAATAGGCAACCCCAGGCTATCTCAGAGTTAAAACAGCTTATATAAATGGAAAAGGCCAATCTCGCTTATATGAAAAGAGAATGTTTGGCCGTATCCCCTTTTTTTGGTTTAGAAAGAATCCAAGCTGTAATCAAAAAAGACCTTTCATATGGGATAGCAGCAGTTCCTAATAAAACTGAGCATGTATGATATAGCCTTGCCAGAAAAGGTTCTGAAAAGAATACAGCTAAAGGTGGGGAGAGGAAAAATACTGGGAGGAAGAGTCAAAAACAGGCATCTTAAAAAAAAAAAAGCAATGGAGTGACAGTTCTCCAGAAAGTAGGTTATCATCTCATATATTTTCAAGGAATTATCATACAGTTTTATAAGGCCAATTCAAATTATTTCTGCATACATTGAAGTGTGCTGTTTATATACTGTCTCAGTGCTTAAAGCACTCTTTGTATAATTTTCAACGTAACTATGCAGGCTACACATTCCCTCCCACCCACCCAACCCGCGCAGTGAACTGAGTAGTTATTTTACCCACCTCAGAAGGATGGCTGGCTGAGTAAATCTTGAGCTGGCTACCTGAACCCATTAGAATCAAACTCAGGTGGTGAAAGAGAGGTTACCTACCTGTAACCATGGTCCTTCTAGTGGTGCTCTGTGAATCCACACATCCCGTCCATCCTCCCCTCTGTCCATCACATTGCCTTTTTTAAAAACAGTTCTTTGACAGTGGCAGACTCTTACAGGAACTGAGGGGACATCTGGCGGGCGGAGCATGCGCTCCACGGGGGAACATCCTACTAATCACATGTCTTTCAGCTCTAGAAACTTCTGAGAGGTCCTACGCAGGCACAGAACAACCCAATTGTGTGCATTCACAGAGGCCACGAAGAAGAACAGAGGGTTGACTGCAGAGTTGCAGTTGAACCACTGTGTCACAGGGCTACATTACGGATGCACATAGGAATTGTGTTTGTCCTAGCCCAAAGTTCATCCAGTAAAAATTATCTCAGGATTTCTGAGACTAAACAGGCTCCTAACATAGGTTTTAAAGAGGAAACTGCCTCTATATCTGGGGCAATTTGAACTTTTTAACATATCAATAAGGACTTCATTAGCGGATTGTCAGGAGGATACATTCCTGGTCCAATAGGCTATCTGGGATTCTTGCCTATAAGGGCATTCTGGTTTTGGTTGTAAAAATACAGGCATAGTTATTTTTAAAGGAATAGAGAAAAAATATTCAGAAGCTCACTGGTTTAAGCTATGAAATTATGAGTTTTTGCTTTTTGGCTGGGGATGGTCTTATTCCATATTTGCTGAGTTATTTTTTGCCTATATCCTGTCACTGTCATCAGTTGGTAGCTGGGTACCCCAATGGTTCCATTCATCTTATAACTGAACAATGGCTTGGTAACTTTTGTTTAAAAAAACCCTCCAAAGATGTTATGTGTCACCGAATCTCTTCTGATGTGTGGTGACTTAATTAATGACCTCCAAAATGTCCTATCATTAACTGTTCTGCTCAGATCTTGCAAACCAATAGCAGTGGTTACCATTATTGAGACTCATGTTAGATTATTCTCTCTTCCTACAGCCCCCCTTTTCATAGGAATATTGTCTTTCCCAGTAATTTCTGCTCTGGTCTTGTAAAATAATATCTGTGCCTTCCTTTACTAAGTCAATCCGTCTTATGTTAGCTCTTCCTCTCTTCCTACTGCCTTTGCCACCACTTTCCTCAGCAATATTGTGTTTTCCAGTCAGTTTTGTCTTCTTATAAGATATGCAAGATAGAATATTCTCAGTTTATTTATTGTTGCTCTAGTAAGAGTTCAGGCTTGACACAATTGAACACCCGTTTATCAGCCTTACTGGTGGTCTGTGGTATCTGTATGGCTCTTCTTCAATGCCATATTTCAAATATGTTGATTCCCCCCCCCCCGTCTAGTTTTCACAGTCCCCCTTTTACACAGTATGGATTATTCTGGCCTTGATTTCCAGTTGCAGTCTTTGCTTTCTCCCAGCCCCCACTTCTTATTTTAAAAGGTGAGTGGACATATTTTGGGGAAAAAAGCAGGCAAGAGATTTGTACAGCTTTTGGGTCTATTTATCTTTTCTTCCTTAGGTTGCATGTCCCAAGAAAAAGGTTTGGAAACTGGAAGATAGGCTTTCTAGGCTGCATTCTGTGGAGTGGACATGGCAACCTTAGTTTATCTGAGAGGTTAAATAGCATGTACCTTTCTCCACTGCACATCTTACACTCATACTGTGGCTTCAGCACTTCATTAAGTCCAAAACAACCTTTCAAAATATTGTGGTTGTTGTTGTTTAGTTGTTTAGTCATGTCCGACTCTTCATGACCCCATGGACCAGAGCACGCCAGGCCCTCCTGTCTTCCACTGTCTCCCGGAGTAAGGTCAAATTCATGTTGGTCGCTTCGGTGACACTGTCCAACCATCTTGTCCTCTGTCGTCCCCTTCTCCTCTTGCCTTCACACTTTCCCAACAATATTCCCAATATTTTGGTAGAGAGTGTAATTAAATACTTAGCAATCTATATTACATGGAATTTACAAGGGATAATTAAATTAAATATCGATATATTGAAGAAATAAATTAGCAAACAGATAAACCAGTACCAAAAATTAAAATTGTCATGGTTTGGTAGAATAGTATTATGTAAAATGAAGATTATCCCTAAACTTAACTTTGTATTTTGGATATTCCAAATAAAGATTGGAGAAATATATCTGAAAGACTGGTAAAAAATGATAAATAATTCTTGTAATGGAAATATGCGAACAAGGATCAATAAGAGGTTATGGTATATTCCACACAAAGAAGGAGAGCTTGGACTACGTACCTAATATTAAATTACCATATATTACATCATAAATCATCTTAGACATATACAGATATTATAGTTAAAGATGGGGTATTCGTATATGAATATTCCCCCACAGGTGAAATTAATAAGGGTCTAGCCCCATGAGGCTGGACTGTCCATTCACGAATCCACTGCTCATGCACACTTGACAGAGTCTTTCTATCATGCCGTTCTCCACAATGGATCAGCCACTCCTGGCAGACGGTGGGAAGATGAGCCTCTCTGCCAGGTCACAGAGTGGCTAATGCATTGCGGAGAACGGCATGATAGGAAGGTTCCTTCAAGCACGTGTGGAGGGCGGAATCTTATTCATATACGAATACCGCCATCTCTAATTATAGTACACAATAGAAACCTAATATGGAGGAAAATGGAAATGTCAGAATATCCCAAAAGAATGGAGAACATCTTTTTAAAAGAAAAAAATTGCAGAAGAAACTAAGAGAATATATGTCTTTTAATGAAGTTAACCGCCATTTTTCTGACGAATATGATGGAGTGCTGGAATAATTATAGATATATATTGAGTCCACCTATTTCACCTCTGCAACAAGTAGTAGAGGTCCAGAGTTTTCCCCAAACTCTTAAATCTAAACTTTAAATAGTATTAACAGATAAAGGATTAAATACAATAAAGAGTTAGATGAAATGGATTAAAGATAAAAAATGCTATAAAGGAAATTTGGGGGGAAGAAGAGGGAATATCCTGGTTAAATATGCTCCAAATGGAAAGTTGGACAACAGAATGGACTAGAAAAGTAGGAGAGATTAGAAAGCTGACAAAACTTGAGGGGATTATCGAACAAAGACAAGATCAAGAAGAAGGAAACAAAAGAAAGGGAACAATTAGCGTAATCTAGAAGATTTTAGTCTCAATGGTAGAGATGCAAAAAAAGACCTATATGCATAGGGGGTGGACATGTGAAATAAGAAAGAAAGAATGGGCACTGGTTTTTAAGGAAATTAGAAAAATATTCAGATATCACCAATTATTGTCATTAAGAATGACTGTCTAAAAGATCAGAGATACATGTACATGTTATAATGGTTATAGTAGCAAGACAAATAATTGCAAAGAATTGGAAAAGTGATAAATTAATTAATGGTTGTTGTAGTTTGTTTCAGGCTGTCTGGCTGTGTTCTTGAGGTTTTTCTTCCTAATGTTATGCTAGTCTCTGTGGCTGACATCTTCA